AGAGAGTTTATACCACTACTGTGGACACAAGGGATGAACTTATTCGTCGGATTCGGAACGCATGCAGTGAAATCAGAGACAATAACTTAATTCAAATGAGACGTTCTATTCAGCGTCGGTGTCAGTTATGTATCGAAGAAAATGGTTTACATTTCGAACATTTGCTTTGATGTAATATGGTTTTCGTTATTTATTTTTGTATTTATTTTCATTTAATTAATTAAAAACAATTTTAACCGAATTTTTGAACTACATATTTAATTTAGTTGTAACACAATGTTTAAAAATTATTATTTGACTTCTAAACAGTATTTTCGGTTTTTCTTGAAAACGCCACCTCCTATCGACTTTGGACAAGAGGGCCTTTTCTGGGTAAAATTGAATGCTCTTTCATATTTTTCGAAAACATTTGCAAAATATCAAATCGGCTATACTTTTTTTATAAAAATATGCATAGAGACCCCTCTATCTCCACCACTGGAACTAATATGCGATGATTTTCTGTGTCAAATTATTTGCCCTCAAATACTAAGTCTTTCGCCGCAACATGATGATTTTTTTTTGTCAGCGGTTATTTAGTTAAAAAATAAATAAATAAAACAAAAATAAAATTGAACGCCCTGTATCTCAGAAACGAAGTGTTTTAGGACCCATATATATAGGAACTTTTACTGATTCCTGAAGTCCTACTATTTAAATGTGAGACACCCTGTATATTCTATCAAATTTTCAAAAATGAAATAGGAGTCGTAAAAAATATATTATTAGGAAATCAATATCCATAAAGTTTAGCTGATAGAACTTTTAAAAACATTCAAAATAAACATAATTTCAATATCAACAACAAAATGTTATGTAAAGGATGATTTTGTTAACCAGAAACTTTCAAATATTTCGAAAAATAGGCACACTACGAAATAATAAAAAAACCATTGCGTAGGGGAAATATATTAGTGCTAAAATTAGTTCCCTTCCCCCTCCTAGGTGGGGGGTGGTGCTAAATTAAATAGGAATCCCTTTATTTGTAATCGACAAAATTCAAATTCTTCTACTGAGAACTTATGCATACGATTCTGCAATACATTTGCAGTAAAAAATACGACTCGAAATTCGTCGTTAAAAAACTTCATTCATTTTGCAAGTTTGGAGTAACTGGGAAATTGTTACCTGTAGAAATGCAAATGGCTGGTGAATAAATTACTTTTAGCGTAAACCAGGAACAACTACCTGGACGTAGTAGTTTTCTGTCCTCATTCCTCTCACCTCTCAGGATACTTGATTTATGTGAGTTCCTTCGTCTCTCACTTATCAGAGTGCTTCATTTAGGTATATGACTTTCCTCTTCACAATTCTTCAATTAAAGTAAGTATGATGACCTTTGAGTTCAATGCCCTTATTAATCCGTTTGCATTTTAAACGGCTACGAGGAGAGGGGGATGGTGACTAGTTTTAGTATTGATATATTTCCTCTGCATAATGATTAAATTTTGATTATGGACATTTTTTTTGCAGAGTGATTATTTCTCGAGATATTTGAAAGTTTCAGGTTAAAAAAATCACCCGGTCTGTATATAGCAAAAAAATGTATATTCAATTTTTATCTATAAAATTAAAAGGAATTTGCAATAAGTTTAATATTAGAACAGTTTTGAAAATCCGTATACGATATGAACAATTTAATCAAAAACTTGATAGCAAATTGAGATACAAAGGTTTAAAAATTGCATTTATAGTGTACCTTGTGAATCTAGTATTCTTCGAATTAGAAAGGGAGGAAGATATGAAAAATAAAAAATTTGGGAGCTTCTGTAGCAAAACGGTCAATATAAAAATTTTGGAAATTCCGTTTTTATTCTGCTAAATTCAACAGTGACATTCATTTCAAATAATTCTTTAAATGCTTCAATAATAGTTGTTGGTTGAAATATTTTCAACGAGAAGGTGAGTAATAACAAAATAAATATTACAAAACTACTGAGAACTTACCTTATACTCGAAACGGATATATTTAATAGTAGCTCTATCACCAATTACCTCATCATTTTGTATATAAACGATACATGAAGTTTCTGCTATGCTCATAACCCCAGGAGCATATTTCAGCAAGGGAGCTACAGCTAAAACGTAAATTTAATTTGCTTAAGTGATTCAATTTTGAACAAACAGTAAGTTTACCCATATGAGTAACTAAATAAGAGTGTTTATTCTGTGTCTTCTATCGACAGCAGCGGCTACGCCATCTGTAGCTGGTGCAGAAAACGATACACTCGGAAACCACATACCGTAAAATAATTAAGGTAACTGCATGGGAGGACACAATTAGAGTACCCTCTAATTCTACTATCTAATAGATGTCGCTGCACCATAATGGCGGTAAATTTAAATGTAATAAAATACACTAAGAAAAAGTATTTTATAAGTAATAGACCACAAAACAGCTACTAATGGTTTAAGTTAATAATTAAAATTAAGGTGAACCATTAACAGCTGTTCCATGACCCATCACTTATGAAACACTTTAATTATCGCTTGATTAAATGAAAAAGTTAAAGCAGTGATATTTAACTGTGTGATAAATATACAAATTCATTCTGTTATGAATTCGAAAATATTTAAGTATCAAAAAAATGTACAGGGAGACTCTTGTAATTATTATTTATTTAAAGAAACCATTAAAAACAAATGCAAATGCAAATTTTAAACAAATATAAAGAATTATTTACCTGCCTTTATGTAAAATACATTGCAGTTACTTGCCAAAAATTATTATGGTTAGATGCATTTGTTTCAAACTAATTGGTTCTCATCAATACGATGTAACATACTATACTTATAGCACTTATAGCAACTAAATTGAAGTTTGGCAGCTCGTACTCTGAAAATTCTGTAACGTTATGTCAACAAATTGTTTTGCTGAATGTTGCATACTATCCGAGGATTCCGAGATGATATTATTACAATTAATAGGTGAACTTGTACTTGATCCGAAAAAATAATGTCGGCACAGTACTTCTGTTGAGACTATTCCTATTACCGTTTTCTAAACATTTTAAATCAAAATGGTCTTCACAAAAATCCACTGTAATTGTCAGTCTTTTATAATTCTAAAAAAACTGTTCTTTCTATAGAACGTATTACAGACATTTATATAGTAGGAAATGCTTTTGCAATTTGGAGCACAACATTGACGTTTAGTTCCAGATAAACTTATTTTGGATAAAAAAAACGAATAAAAAATAGTAAGGCAGTTCAGACGATTGATTCAATAAATCCCTTATTACATTAATCTAAAACAAAACAAATATATTAATGAACAAAACGCGACAACCTGCCTGAACATAAACTATAACTTCAAACAATCAAACATTTTATTTCTGTTGATTGAAAGATTGAAAATATATATATGTATGTTGTAGTACGCGTAGTGTGAGTGAATGAGGAGATTAAACTACCATATGACAACTAAGATCAAAAGAGATAGAAATAGTAACTACAAATCAGATATTCACCAATATTCAGTCGCAAAAACGCCTACAGATTCGATCTGTGGTTGCAGATTTCCGTTTAACAATTTCTATAAAGAACAATGTTTTGCTGCACCAACGCGAGATGGCCTCAGTGAATGCATGCTCCGTCCGTCCTATCCAATAAAATCATCTTATTTATTTTTACTCATATGGCTTTACCTTAAATTAGTTCTACTCATATAAGATCGTTGTGGAAGAATTTTTGTCATAAATGAGCAAATTGGATTTATAAAGTTTAGAAGTAAGTAAAAATATATACATAGTAATCTTATAAACATCTATTTTTTTGGAAATCTCCTTAGTCTGATATTGAAAACGCCTCTCATATTTTTAATTTTGGAAAATATGACTAATTTTTACAGTTTCCGATAACTTCGATGAATGAGACATATAGTCATGGTTTAATCTTTTAGGAATATTAAATTATTATTTAACACCATGTTTTTTGAATACTTACGGTCGTCGCATTTTGTTCCTCGAAAACCTTCAAAGCATTCACCTTTTTTACAATTTCCATTGATATTATCGCATCCCTGGACACAATTGTTACACTGCTTTTTGCAACCATGACCATAATATCCCGATATGCATTCTAAAAATATAAATTTGAGGAACAATGAATTATGGTCACTAAGCAACCCGAACAACAACAGCAAGTTAAACAACAAGCAGCAAGAGCAAAACATAAACCGTACTATGTTCGCAACTGTTCGAAATGAGTAATAATAATAAGAATAATAAACTGGTGATATACTGTTTAGGTATACAGGGTGTTCCAGTGTCAGCGTACAAAAAGTTACCAGGGGGTAGACCAGACCAAAATAAGGTTAAAATTCTTATAAAATATTTTTCTGCGATGTACTCTCACTGAGTTACAGAGTGTTGTTTAGAAAAAAATAATAACAACTTTCCGCAATAACTTAAAAACCCTTTCAGGAATTTAAGTAATTTTTGGGTGAAGTGTATATCTATTAAAGGTCATTAAAACTACGTAGTGCTTATTTCGATTCAAGGACATTTAAATAAAGGGGACTTATTTATTTACATTTCTAGATGAAGCCTGGTCTATTCACAGTCTAATTGTATCATTGTTGTCAGCTGTATAATTATACTGAAAATGTACTTAATATTTTTATCGCAATTTTCATCACAATTGTGAAAATTATTATAGGATAGTATTATTAAGTTATGCATACAATATTGTTAAATTCTGTAGATATTAAACTATTTTTCATTTTTCATATTTGCCATGTTTGAAGACTTGGCAACTACGCAATAATTTGTAGCGTGTTCCTCGTTCGTTCTGCCGTGGTTGGCAGAATATGGCGTCTCTTGTTAGAAAATAGTTGTGATTTTAGTAAGTGAAACGTGATTAGTGTTTATACATGTATTTTGGATAAACTTTTAAGGTGTGAATATGGTTAGACAGTGCAGAATTTGTAAGAAATTGGATTATAAACATCCACATCAGCTATCCTTCCACAGGTAAGCGTGCTTGAAGGTGACTTTGGAATGTATATGCAACTGTGGCCATTGTCGTGCGTGTGGGTAACTTTTATTTGAATAACGGTAAAATTTTATAAAACTGACTTGGTATTTTTTTAAAATTTTTGCTGAAATAGTAAGAAAACAATAATATGAACCACGTTTGGCCATTAAAATCAAAGGAAAATGCTGCACCACAAATAAGTTACAGACATTATTTATATTTAATATATTTATAGGTATTTCAATGTTATCCCTTATACCCAACATTACAAATTTTAATCATTCATCATTTTCATTTTCCTCTACGACAAAAACCTTTTCAAAAATATATTTACAATTTTACTAAATGCACGAGCATAAAAACTGAATAAATACAACAGCAAAAATATGGTGGTGGTTCACTTATACATAAAAATACCGAAGATGCAATCAACTGAAAGTTGCATTCATTCAACCATTTGATGTTCTCCTTTGGGAATATATTTTTATGTCTCACTGAAAATTTGCCTCAGTATTCTAAAAGTGAAATGTGAACGTTTTTAGGATGCTTGGGGATGGTGCAACAAGAAAGAAATGGTTACAGTTATTGGGATTCCAAGAAGTTATAAAAATATTATATATATTTATTATAAAAATACTGAGTAGCTGTTGAAATATATTGACTTAGGACTATAAAATATTTTATTTTGACCCATCCAAAATGTACGGCATTGGAGATGTAATCGCGCGCATCAGTTGGATGAAAATAAAGCCCTCTGCTTTCCCCTTGTCTAGCTTCACCCAACATATGAGATAGACTGTGACATGCATAGTCCCCTTTATTTGAATGTCCTTGTTTCGATCTGACGCCAGGGGCGGCACAGGCCAACTTGTCATTAAGGTTATGTCTTCATAAATTTGCATATCCTAGTTTTATGGAATTTGACTACATTTTCCTGAATCTGCAATCAATTCTGTGCGAAATAATGTGCTCTTGTTTCATAGCTCAAAAATGAACCGTTTTCGAGTAAATTGGGTCTAAAGTATCGACTGCATTTGTTCGTAGAAAAATGCATGTAGATTTTATTTCTTGTTATCTAGTAGGTACCTATCATTATAAAAAAACAAGTTGTTTACCGTTTATATACAGTTTCCCATGTAGCTGCGGCTCAATGAATATGAAGAAACTAAACAAGTTTCCTATGAATTAGTTAATATTTGGTTACGAATAGGGAAACTAAAAATAAAATTGAAAATGATGTAACAGAATCGAAATCGAAATTATGTTAGCAAAATTACAATATTAAAAATAAAAATAGAAAACAATTATTACAATAAATGCTAAAAATGCTGTTCATTTATTTCAATGCCTTCCCGACATCGTTTGACCAAGGAATTGTAAACCTTTCGCAAATCAAGGGTTACTTGAATTTGCTCGGCGACTGCATTAATTTTTTGAAGTAAATCGTCTCTCGTGTTACTGGATTTGTCATACACCAGTTGCTTCATATGACCCCAGTAAAACAAATCAAGCGGGTTGAGGTCAGGGAACTTGGGAGGCCACATAATAGGTCCATTTTTCCCAATTCAGCGTTCTGGAAAATGTAAATCGAGCCACGCAGATACCTGTCCTCCGTTACGAGTAAGTACTCCATCTTGTTGGTAGCACATTCGCAAAGAAAACGTAATCTAAGTACGTCATCAACAATATTTTCTAAAAAATCTGTGTATCTCTCTGAATTCAAACGGTCTACAATAATTTGAGGAGGCAAAATGACTACGTTGAAGATTCCTCCCCAGACATTTATGGAGAATCTTCTTTGAAACGCGGAGGGTTATATCACATGCGGATTTTCTATGGATCAGACAAGTAAATTTTTTAAATTATTTATAGCATTTCTCGTAAAGATAGTTTCATCGCTCCACAATATCTTTTGATGAAAAATTTCGTCATTCGATATTTTCTAACAACCACCTGCAAAATTGTATCCTTTTTTCGAAATGACCAGAATGCAAAGTTTGTATTTTATGTAGGTGGTATGGGTGCAGTTCTTCTCGGTTTAAAATTATCCAGACGCTGCTTCGTGGAATACCTCTTATTCTGGTATTTCCAATTTTAACACTCCCGGCCTTACGGACTCTTTGGAAAACTCATTGGAATTCGTGCTGTGAAGGTTGCTTTCTGTTTGGAAACCTGCGTAGATACTCTCGTGAGGCCACCAAAGAATTTCCGTCACCGAAATCGTAGACAAATATGATATCGGCATATTCGTTGTTGGAACATTTCATAATACTTAATATCTTGTTGTTTTGTAAACTTAATTTCTCGTAACTTCGAGTAGGTGCTGTAATTAATTTTGACATGTATGATTGTAAACAACTTTGTTTTTTTATAATGACAGGTACCTACTAGATAACAAATAAAATCTTTACATGCGTTTTTCCAGGAATTAATGCAGGCGATGTTTTAGACCAAATTTACTCGAAAACGGTTCATTTTTGAGCTGTGAAACAAGAGCACATTTTTTTGTTCAGAATTGATTGCAGATTCAGGAAAATTTAATCAAATTACACAAAATTAGGATATGCAAGAGTTATGAAGACATAACCTTGATGACAAGTTGGCCTAGGCCGCCCCTGGCGTCAGATCGAAATAAACACCATGAAGTTTTAATGACCTTTAATAGAAGTATACTTCACTCAAAAATTACTAAAATCCCTGATTGGGTTTTTGAGTTATTGCGGAAAGTTGTTATTATTTTTTTATAAACAACACCCTGTAACTCAGTGGGAGTGCATCGCAGAAAAATATTTTATAAGAATTTTAACCTTATTTTGCTCTGGTCTACACCCTGGTAAATTCTTGTATGCTGACACTGGAACACCCTGTATTTATTTAAAATTTTATTACAGCAGGGCAAGTGACAACTAATTTATATTTTACTAAGTAATCTAATACTAATGTGATAAGATGTGTCGAGTTAGATTCATCCGATGAAATCGATATAGGTATCTGCTAATAACTTACCTTCGCTACAAGATTCTGTGTGAAATCCGGAAGTACAGTGACAAAACGTTTTATTTTCATATAATTCACAGTACTTGAATGAAGGGCAAAAAGAACCATCTAATGCGGAACAAGGTATACAATTTTCCCCAAATGTATCCTCCGAACAGTTTGCTCCTAAAAATAGTTGAAAAAAGGTTTTAATTAATGACATTTTCCGTTAGTAAGAGCTACAACAAAAATATTCAGTATTAATATGAAAAATTTAATGAGTGTCCCCGAACAAGTACATTTTCCTTTTCTTTTTTCGCAAGACGCAACGCGCAATACAATTTATTGTCATAGTTTAAAAAAAGTAATGGAATATGATTTTTAATAGTTTCTTTCTGTTACAGAATAAACAAAGGTTTGCGAAACTCACAATCAGCGATAATTATCTAAGTGGAGGATTTATTCTTTCTTTCTCAGCAACTGAATTAAAATATATACTTACTTATGTCACGGATTTCATTTGTTTCTCGTGTATCCATGGACTTATCATTTGCAATAAGCTGACAAGGGACGTTATCGGTTGAAGACGATAATATCCTATATTCTAAAACATAATAAATTAAATATTTCTTAATATTTTATCAGCAGTTTTAACAGCACCATTATCTGCACATTGTCGTACGCTGTCAATACCCCAAAATGGTTTTTGTGATCCTCGATTCTTAGACGTGAAATACATTCCAACGTATTCCGTTTTGTTGGATTTCAAAAAAATTTTTACTTCTTTCCACTTTTGATCCTAAGAAATTTGAAATTGTTTTTTATGATGTCTGTATCAAGCTGAAATAAATTAATTGGCGAAAATATGTGTGATTGGTTTTCAGTTTTCTTTTAACTCTGATCACTGATTTGAATTAGATTATATTTTTTGGGACTGTGTTAAAAGCAGCTCCGCAAAATAAAGATTTTAAATGCTTTAAAGGATGAGTAATTCGAAACAGTGAATACCAAATTCATAAAGTACGGAAAATTTTTTTAATACTTAAAAATGCTTAAAAAATGCTTCAATATTTATTTAAAGTATTTTTAAGAATTTTCTTTTACGAATTTTATACTCGATGTCCATTTAGTGGCTTCTTCTATTTAGTCTTAACCTTTGTCAGAGGAAACATCCCATTGTGGAAACATCAGTTCTCCTAAATAGAGGGACATTCAAATTTGTGGCGTATTGTAAAAAGACACATAATATATATTTTTTAAAGCATCATCATAAATTTGTTGTTTCAAGGGCTGATTCAGCATTTTTTTTTTATTTGCTTAACGGAAAGATATTGCAATTTTAAGATTTTAAGGTTCTCTGCAAGAATCACCGCATGGGAAACCGAAGCCGCATGCTTGCGTGTGTTCAGTTTAGTCGGGTAGTCGGGTTTTAGTTGCCTGTTAAGTTTCGATTGAGTACATGTTAAGATACCGAATTTTGTGAGCAATATGGAAGACACAGAATATAAAAAAATTACAAATATTGTATTGTTCCCCAGTGTGTTTTCCATTGTTGATTTTTTTGTGAATATTATACAAATACCTATAGGTACTAAGTATTTATATAAAAATACATAATAAATATTATATTATTAATATATTTATAAGATATTAGGTAGATTTTATGTTAGGTAAATCTTTGAAACCTGTGACAGAAACGGTTTCGTCTAATTAAACGCAAAATCTTTATTCTTATTTACTATTCTTATTGTATAAATACATCAAAACTTTCGCTACAAACGTACTTTAAAAAAGCTTTACTCGCTATTGAAACGTAACCTTTGCATTTTCACTCCTCTCATCTCAGCACCGATAAAGTCGTGGTTTTCATTAAAAAAATCCATAACCATTAACAAATCTACTTCTGGTAGATTAGAAGAATCTGATTTTACGAAATTTGCTTCCATTTTTTAAATTTAATATGCACAAACGCTAAAACAATCTGTAGATGCAGGAGGATAAAAGTAGCGATAAGCCGGCTGACCCTCCCATGCGGTGACGTCATTGCATTGGCATGGCCGCGACAAATAGTCGCATTTTAAAAATCATATAGTTTGAAAACCGCTCAACGGATTGAGTTGAAATTTTCAGGATCGGCTAATCATGAGCAATACTTTGTGTATACAAAATAAGAACGTTTTTGAAAATTTACTGAATGACCCCATTGATGAACCAAGTTTATGGTGGTGCTTCTTTATCCCGTAGTAGAGTTCATGCGGTTAAAATAAAAGGGTTGTGCGAGGACATAAATGTTGGCCAACCGAAATATGTGATCACCGCAGATTTCATCAAAACTGTTCGTAAATTCATCAAAGATCAGCCAAAATCTTCATTGAAATTCATGGACTTAGAATTGAGCATCTCAAAAACATCAATTGATCAGATTTTGGTCGAACATTTGGGCTACTGAAAGGTGGGCGCACGGTTTGTTCCGCACAAGTTGACTAATGACCAAAAATTGCTCAGATTCCAACATTCGAAGGANATAATAATAATATGCAGTATTAAATAAATGTTCTTTAATAAAAATCAAATGTATTTGATACTATTGCCCTTTTATTTTTTTCTGCACTCTATTCGTACAATTTTGAATTAATTAAATAAAATTATTATGAATTATGAAATTTAAATAATCAATTTTTACATTATTTTATTGGTAGTAACAGTACTTAGCATGCTAAATTCAAAGAGTATAAGACGAAATAGCGAATCCGCGTATGAGAGAGGCGCGCGCGCGGCTCATAGCGCTTTAACAATTAAATCACAAGGCTTTAGAATAATGCGAGTCCCAAAAACTCCTCAGCATCTTGTAGGGTGATGTTTAAACTTTAATTTAGGTACCTGGCAACATCAAAAATAACAATTTTTAACTCGGAAATCGGCCGTTGAAAATCGTCATTTTCGCATTTTTTGCAACTTAAATTATTTATAACTATAAAACTATCAATTTTAGAGGCATAGTGCATAGAAACTTTTGTGTTTATAATGTGCCAAAAAACCTAAACAAAATTTTTCCGTAGTGAACAAACCAATTTTTACAATTTGTTTAAAAAAAGTTTGTTTAAACAAATGGGCACCAGATTTCCGGTCGGCATCATCTCTCACTAATCTGAATATGCAAAAAAATCGGGTTGGAAAATTTCTCCCACGAATGCGAGGTTTTTACCTTGTCCATATTCTTATTTACTAATACTATTCTTATTGTACAAAATCGTCAAAACTTTCACTACAAATGTACTTTAAAGAAGCTTTACACGTTATTGACACGTACCCTTTGCATTTTCACTCCTTTCATCTCAGCATTGATAAAGTCGTGGTTTTTATTAAAAAAATCCATAACCATTGACAAACCTACTTCTGACAAATTAAAAGAATCTGCTTTTACGTTTGCTACCATTTTTAAACTTAATATGCACAAACGCTAAAACATTCTGTATATGCAGAAACTTATCTGGAAGTAGCGCCAAGCCGGCTGACCGTCCCATGCGGTGACGTCATTGCATTGCCACGGCTGAGATAAATATTCGCATTTTAAAAATCATACAGTTTGAAAACCGCTCAACGGAATGAGTTGAAATTTTCAGGATCGGCTAATCATGAGCAATACTTTGTGTATATACAGGGTGATTCATTAATAATGGGACAGAGCTTAAGGTCATGTTGCTGATCTCAAAATAGAGCGATTAAGCCAAATATGCCTTATCCGAATGTTGTTCCTTTTCGATCTACAGGGTGTTAAAATTGAAAAAATTTTTTCAATTCGTACGTTCAAACAAATAATTTTGTAAAGTAAATCGTTCTTATTTCGAAAGCGGTTAAGCTAATCAATTTTTAACAGATATATCTTTTTTATTTAGAATTGAACGTAGTTTAATAATTTCTTATTGGAAATTCAGATTTTGAAGAACAAAAAAGTTTGACATATGTTTACTCCGACGGAACACTACAACTAGCGCATCCTAGATGTGATTGCAAAATAGTTACCATTTCCGTAATTACCACCTCAGAAAACATAGGTGTACAAACTTTCAAGACAATCCGTTCAAAGATGCTCAAGATATTTAAAAAATCGAAAATATGTTTTCAACATTAACACCCTGTAGATCGAAAGGAGCAACATTCGGATAAGGCATATTTGGCTTAATCGCTCTGTATTGAGGTCAGCAACATGCCCTTAAGCTCTGTCCCATTATTAATGAATCACCGTGTATATAAAATAAAAACGTTTTTGAAAATTTACTGAATGAACCCATTGAAGTCTTGTAAACTTTCTATACAACGCTTAAATAATTTTCCTTTTAATTATCGTATTGCCAAATTACTTTTTATATTTTTTTGGCCAAAAACGATTACCATGAGCTAGATTTTATAAGGTTTTAGAAGAATTTAGGTTTATTTCATATCATTTTTCTATTATGAAAATGGCGTTTGAACAGCAGTATTTTATAGAGAGCATTCAAAATTCTTTTTACATGAGTATCGATATTCCCGATTTATAACGATAAATAAACATATTACTACGTGTCCCATTTTAATCCATGCACGTGAAGCATCCGATCTAAAAATGACCTAAATGAAAGTTGTTCAATTCATTAGGGGAAAGCTGTTGCTGGCTTTGAATTTGATGTTAACCGTGTCCTTGAAGGTCAATTGAAGGTCAGCTTCATAATTTTTAATGGGATCCTCTATTTTTTATCCTGAGAATAGATTCGGTAGAAAATTTTACTTCCGAATGTGGCCTCTACTTTGACTTTGCGGTCAAGGTCAAGGTCACAGCGAATTCAATGTTGTTTTGACGTTGACGCAATGGCACAACTTTGCAAAGAAAATGTTCTCAATATGCGATTAAATTAACAATCGATTCATGAAATACATAGATGTTAAGTATTTTCAATCGCAGAAACAAATAATGTGACGAATGAGTGCGGGGAGGATGAAAAAAATGTTTCGTTATTTAACAAAGGCATAACTCTGCTTGATAATTGAAAAAGACATATTTGAGTATGTTACAAAGTAAGTGAGATTGAGTGAAGCTGTAAAATTGAAACAAAAAATTTCAAATATTAAAATTTGAGGATCATTGATTTACGAGGTCATTTCGTTAGTATTCCAGGTTAACTCATGATTCGATCGTCAAATGAACTTTTAATTTGACCTCTTATTACTTTGCAACGTACTCGAGTGTAGATACTGAATAAAAAGAAACAAAATCAACCTAAAAACCTAAAAACAATTGTAGAGGTCATCAAGGTTGATTTCTGTAGTTGATCTTCGCTGTGATCTTGACCCCAAGGTCAAGGTTAAGATCACAACTTTACCCACGAGATATTCACGTGTATCGATTAAAATGGGACACGTGGAATAATAATTGTTGTATATTGGTGAAATCAGAACTTCCAAGCGGTCAAGGGTTCTTCCTATCAGTGAGAACAGCAACCATCATGTTGAAAACAAATTGATGTCCTTTCACCTAGTGGCATATCCAACAAAACTTTACTTTCAACATGATGTCGCTCTTCCTATTCAACTCCCCCCATTCGTAATTGGTTACGTCATACATTTGACAATAAATCCCTTAGCCATGTGGGAACCCAATTTGTCCATGGATTTGTATTTATTATGAAACTAGAAGTTTATGATGGTGCTGATTTCTAAAAGTATTGCCAGCATTTCATAAACAGCATATAAAAAAAAGTGGTATGTAGGTGTCGGTGGGATAACGGCTCAAAATTATTTAGCTTTCTTTCAAGTACCTATTTAATACTTCTCTAAAGCTATTAATATGAAGGCCGAACTTGAAATATGTTTTCCAATTTTTTATTAAAAAAAACTTATGTAATTTCTTTTGTACGACATTTTTTTATAAAATTAAAATTAAAACGCATATTGCATTACAACTGCTCTCCATTTTCTTATTTTCTGAAAACCCTGACCATCATAACATTCGAATATAAAAAGATTTTTCCTCCCCGAACAGTAGACAATGTAGTGTATTATTTACAAACATAATCTATTTATTTCTTCCACTTTTTGATACAGATACGAGACATTTTAAAAGATAAATGAAACATTTTAATTAATTATCTAATTAAACCGAAACTTTTTGGAAATGGAAATAAAAGAGTACGTTTTTTTTACAAATGAAAAAGTTAATTAAATTATTTTAAACGCTTACCTTTGTAATAACATTTTGGACATGCGTTAGTTCCTTCATTGCCACAGTAATCATTAATTCACATTCGCTACACATAATTACGAAAAATGCCATACAGTAGTTAACCTCTTTTTGAAGTGTAAATGATTTACCCAATTGTCTATAACGTTTTGATGTAGTAGTGGAATAGAGGTAAGTATCTAATAAAACATTTTATGTATTATTTCAAACAAAACTATACTCTAATATACAGGGTGTTCAATAAACATGTAGGTTAATTAAAAAGGGAGGTAGGAGACATATCAATGAATAATTCTTATTAAGCAACATAATATTTAGTACATAGTCTCGATTTAGAGAGAAAATTAATCATTTGTGACAATATATTTCGTAACTCATTTAATAGCAATATTAATTATATAGGGGGTAACTTTAAGTGAAGGTCAGTTTTTTAGGGGTAAAAGTGTGTGTTCCCCGCACTAATCATTGGATTGGATCCAAATAAATTCTGGGGCTTTATTAATAACAAAAATAAGAGATCAAGGATACCTGGCAGAATGCAGTTAAATGATTCTAGTTTTGATTCGTCCCAATCCATTGTTACCGCATTTGCTGAATTTTTCTCTAGCGTATTTTTGGATTCTGACTATCAGAGTTTTGATGATGATACAATATCATTTTCTAATCTACATATTATAAATACTATATCCGAGAAGGATATTATTATGGCCTCTAAAAAACTCAAAAACAAGATGACCGCTGGGGTGGATAAAATTCCAAGCTTCATTGTAAAAGATTGTATTCACGCGTTTTTGACACCTCTCCTTCATTTGTTTAATTTAATTCTGTCAAGTGAAATATATCCTGATTTATGGAAAACAGCCAAGATCTGTCCTATACATAAAGGTGGAGATCGCACTCTCATTGATAACTACAGGCCAATAGCCATACTATGTAATTTCGGCAAATTATTTGAAATTATTGTATATGATACCATCTATAGTTCGGTGAGGTCCACAATCTCATCTTTTCAGCATGGATTTATGTTGAACAGATCGACTATAACGAATTTATGCTGTGTCACGCAATATATCTCGGAAACTTTAGATGCTGCAGGCCAGGTAGATGTTATATATACTGACATAAGAAAAGCGTTTGACAGAATTGATCATCTACGTCTGCTGTCTAAACTCAGAGCGACAGGATTTTCAAGTTCGTTATCCAACCTAATCGAATCATATTTACTAAATCGTCGTCAGTATGTTGAATATGGTGGTGTACGTTCTGAGATGTATGTGTCGACATCAGGTGTTCCTCAGGGGTCGAATTTGGGTCCTTTACTGTTCCTTCTCTTTGTGAATGACATTTCAACTAAAATATCTGTGCAACATTTGCTTTTTGCTGATGATTTGAAAATTTATTTACAAATTAATTCAGTTATCGATTGCAAGGTCCTACAGGCCTCGCTAGATGAAGTTCACAGCTGGTGTCTTAACAACAGGCTTGAACTAAACTTAACTAAGTGTAAGGTTGTTTCGTTCCATAGGAAATCATATCCTATAATATTTGATTATTCACTGAATGGAGTTGTACTGGAGAGATGTGATACATATAAAGATTTGGGAGTAATATTCGATAAGGGACTCTCCTTCAACAATCATGTCCTGGAAACTGTCTCTTCTGCCTGCAGATTGTTAGGATATTTTATTAGGAATTGGGGCGAGTTCTCCGAAATAAATTCACTTAGAATTTTATATGTAACATTTATTAGAAGTAAAATGGATTATGCATCAATCATTTGGTCTCCTATATATCAAAATTCTATCCACCATATAGAATCCGTACAGCGTAAATGTCTAAAATTTATGTATTTTAAATGTAATGGGTTTTATCCCCCCAGAGGATTTGATCATCTAACTCTACTCGAGTCTTTCAGTCTTCCTGCATTGTCAGACAGAAGAAACTGCGCTGCGTTAACTTTTTTGTGTAAACTGTTTAATAACTCAATTGATTGTGACTATCTTTTGCAACAATTTTCATTTTCAGTGCCAAGAGCCCAGTCAAGATATAAGCCTACTTTTTATTGTAACACCCCTAGAACTAATATATTAGTTAAATCACCGATTTATACTATGTGTCAATTATTCAATGGTATAGCCGACCAGTGCGACATCAATTTTCATGGTATAAGTTATATTATTGCTAAGTTTAAATCCACGCTATAATTATTGCTGGGTTATCCTGCTTAATTGTTGTTTTTCTTTTTTCCTTTTTTTTTTGTCGTATATTGTGAACTACTTTTTTTGTTATACACTTTGTCTTACATATTTTTTTTCTCTGTAATTGGGTATTAATCCGTTGAGAATAAATGTATTATTATTATTATTATTACTAATTTGATTTAAAAAATTTTTTTAAGCTGCACTTAAATATTTGTTTACGACGCTACTAGGCAGCGCCCGGAAGTAGCTGAATCAGCGCAATTATCAGTGTTGCCAGCTGTTACCTTTTTAAATCAACTGTTAGAGCGAAACTACAATGGAAAATAATTTAGTAAAAAGACATTTGTCTAACTTTGCGACTTTTAAACTCGCTATATTTCTGGTGTTTTAAAAAAATTAAAATTGTATGCACGAAAGCAGGAAAGAACCAACATGCATACACTCGGGGCGATCTACCGATACTGCTCTCCATCAGGTGGTGGGTGGGATCGAGAAATCTTTGGACAACAAAGAGTCCACCCTGGGGGTATTCATTGATATAGAAGGGGCGTTTGACATAACGTTCTTCCCAAAATTCAACTCAGCTCTCATGGGGGGAGGGCTCTCCTACCATCTGTAGATGGATATCAAATGTGCTCACAAAAAGAGCTATACAAATCAGTGTGGGGGAATCCGCGAGAGGAATTGCTGCAAGGGGCTGTCCGCAGGGAGGTGTTTTATCACCACTGCTGTGGAACCTAGTTCTAGACAGTCTCCTATGCCACCTCAACTCGGAAGGCATCGCATATACCATCGCCTATGCAGATGACCTCACTATGCTGATTAGCGGAAAATTCGAAGGGATCCTTTGCCAAAGAATGCAAACAGGCCTAAGAATGATTGAAAAGTGGTGTGAGGACCATGCTGTCAGGAAGTCCAGGAAGACAGAAATGGTCCTCTTTTAGAGGAAGAGAAAACTGGGGGCAATAAAGTCACCAACTCTCCTAAACACTACGCTAAACTTTGCATCTGATGTGAAATACCTAGGGGTTACACTCGATGCAAAGCTAATATGGAATCTTCACTTTGAAAGAAGATTGAAAAAGGCGTACATATCCTATGAGCAGTGCCGCAGAACCGTTGGCAAAACCTGGGGCATGAAACCAAATGTGGTTATGTGGATATACACTGCCATAGTGAGGCTAATGTTAGCCTATGGGGCTGTCGTTTGCTGGCCGAAATCCCAGCAGACGACAGCTAGACAAAAGCTCAGCCAAGTACAAAGGATTGCCTGTCTGAGCATAACTGGAGCTATGCGTACAAAACCCACCATAGCAATGGAGGTAATGCTGTGTCTGCCACCTCTGGATATTTGTCTAAGAGAAATGGCTTTGACAACCATACTTCGCCTCAAGAACGTTGGTCTAAAACCGGATGTAGGATGTGGAGGAGTTAGAAGTCGCCTATGGAATGAGGTCGTCAGAAAGACGCCCCTTCTGCAGGCAGACACTGACAGTATTTCTCCCCGGTTTGCATTTGACAAACCCTACACCATAGTCACAAAGAGACAGGAGGAGACCGCCCGTGGAGATGTAAATAGCGTCTTCACAGACGGATCAAAGAGGAAGAAGGGTGCAGGATGTGGAATATACTCTAGATCCTTGCACATCCGATATAAGTGGGCAATGCTACCGTTGTACAAACGGAGTTAGCAGGCATAACCATAGCCGCTAAAGAAATCGCCCGCAGGTAAAAACTACGGGTAAAACCATCAGAATCTACACAGATAGTAGACAAGCATTACTGACCTTGCATAATCACAAGATAATGACTAGGACAGTATGGGAATGCCATCAAGCACTGGTTGTGGCCTCGGCCTCTAACAGCATATCCGTATGCTGGGAAAAGGAACACGAGCGGTGCTATGGCAATAAAGAAGCTGACAAGCTAGCCAGGAGCACATCGGGCCTCAACATTTTTGGACCCGGTCCCTCCAGTGTGCTTGCGTTGTCGGCACTTGCTGGAATTATTAAGGAAAACTCCCACAAAGAATTCATGAAACGGTGGGATGAAACGATTAGCTGTCACTTCGCTAAGGAGCTTTTAGTGTATCCTAGCAAAGACACAGCCAAAAAATACCTGGCTATGTCTAGGTCAAATCTTCGCCTGGTGACAGGTATTCAAACTGGACACTGTTGGCTAAGGAAACACCTTTACAATATGGGGGAGTGTGAAACATCTCTTTGTAGGGGTTGTGAACAGGAAGAAGAGACGGTATTGCATGTACTATGTGAATGCACTGCCGTCTCGTCAACAAGAGAGTCCATGTTAGGAGAACGCTGGCCTTCAATGGCCTATATTAGAGAGATCTCTCTGAGCAACGTCTCCACCTTTTTCACTGTAATATGCTGGTTAGCGGCTCAGGTGGACTGATCTCCTAATGGGAGGAAGTACAAGGGGTCCAATGGGGTCTAAGTGCTGTAGCTTTGCTACCCTCACCACAACTCCAGAAGCAGGAAAGAACCGTCCATGCAACCGTAGCGAGAGCCGAGAACGATGTCCCGAAGGACCCTGAGCGCTAGCGCGGCGATGCAAAGTGCACGGCGCGCGAGAGGAAATTTTCAAATCACTTTCCAAAATCCCGTTTACGCGTCCAAAACCGCTCCGAGCAGCAACAAATCGGTTCAATTACGACAGTCAATGTTGATGAAGGACGATGCCATCAGCAGAGATTCCTAGAACGACGCGGCGCGGGAATGGGAAATTTTCACCACACTTTTCAACGGCGCGAAATAAAGGCGACGAAGCCGTTCCGAGTTCGAATTTCGGAGGTCAAAAATTCTCCGAATTCTACGAAATTCAAACCTAACGGAAACACAATAACTACTACAAAGATAGAAGCCACTCCAGAAGTATGTCATGCCACAGAGGTTCGGAAATGGTCGGGAAGTTCGATCCATCAATAGAAATATAACCACTATACAGATACCTGACCAGAC